CGTAGGAAAAAGACAAAAGCCCAGATGCAAAAGGTAGATGGGATTATTTACGTTAAGGAAAGCTGGCTAGAAACAAGCCAAACTAAGGCCAGGCATTTATAAGTAATAATAAGTCTCTGTGTATGTTTATTTGGGAGCTGGGTGGCGGGCCTCCAAAAACTAAAGAGTAAGAAACAAACAAAAACAACACCCAACTACAGTGATCCAGTTGCTCCCTTGTAAGAACTAAGATTCCTATTTTGCCATCCTCCAGGCTAGCAAAGGACGATCTGCCTCTTTACAAACAGTCCTGTCCTGTGGAACTAGGGCAAGGGGTCAGTTCCTGGACACCCATAGCTGCATGGTTACCACCCTTGGCCACCAGAGGACCTGGCATGTGCCAGGCACCGGATGAAACCTTACAGTTATGGAAAGATGCCATGAAACAGGAAGAAGGTGCCTTGCATAGTATAATCCCATTTTCACAATAAACGAAAACCAAAAACAGCTGTGTGCTCGTATGTACTGAAAAGACGGTCTCTCTCTCTCTGGATGGAATTCTCTCTCTAAGTACAAGCTCTATCAGGTGGATATCACTTCCCTTTGGGTGGTTTTGGGTTTTATGGGGCTGGGAATTAATGGCTCTGGGACCTCCTCACACATTGGGTAAGCACTCCACTGTGGGATAATGCTCTTGTACCCTGCAAAGATTTGTCACTTGTATTAGTTTAATAAAATGCTGATTGGCCAGTAGCCAGGCAGGAAGTATAAGAGAATTCTGGGAAGAGGAAAGCAGAGAGTCAGTCACCAGTCAGAGGCAGAGGAAGCAAGATGAGAATGCCTCACTGAGAAAAGGTACCAAGCCACATGGCTAAACGTAGACAAGAATTATGCGTTAATTTAAGTTTGAAGAGCTAGTTAATAATAAGCTTGAGCTAACAGGCCAAACAGTTGATAATTAGTATAAGCCTCTGTGTGTTTCTTTAAGACTGAACAGCTGTGGGGCCAGGCAGGACAGAAATTTGCATCTATACCACTGAGTCACACCCCCCCACACACACACCCTACTGACACTTCCCTCTGAATGGCACGCAGATGATTGGACCTGGCAAAGGGCCCACACCTGGGAGACTGGAGCGGGTGCTCCAGTCCTACTTGTGTGTGGACCTCCCTTCTGTGTGTGGGATCTTCCTCAGAGACTCAGCAGCCTAGAGGTTTGTTCCAGCCACGAGCAAAGCCACAGTGCATTCTGAGTACATGGGACACATTGGAACACACAGGCTTAGACTGCCACATGGGCCCCAACTCAGGACACATTTTCCTCAACTGAGATGTTTTTCCTTAATGAACTCTGGGCTTTCAAATACAAACGTGCTACTCACGTGTTTGGCCACTAAGTTGCAACACACACTGAACATGTGCTGGCTGGGCTCATGCTGCTAAGCAGGACACCACCATAAACAGAGCACGGCCACGGGAGGGTGCTGTGTCCCACTGCCAAGTGAGGAGCCTCTGATCAGGAGGAAGCAGAACGAGGGAAAGGAGGAATCACAGATCTTAAATGTGTTCCCTCAAATTCTAGTGTTGGAAACTTGATTCCTGGTACAACAGTGTTGGCAGGTGGGCCTTTGGGAGGTGTGTGGTCATGGGGACTGACACCCCTTAAAAAGGGCTTGAGGGAGTGGGTTCTCTGTTTCCTATTGCACATGTTAGGATTCAGTATCCCTCCTCCTCTGGGGATTCAGGAAGACACATCCGGAGTCATCTTGGAATCGAACACTGCCTACCGGCACCATGATCTTGAACTCCCAGCCTCCAGAACTGTGAGGGACTCTATTTCCTGTCTTCAGCAGTGTGGTACTGTGTTTTACATCAGTGTGAACAGACCAGGAAGGAGAAGGCTAGTCACTTGGGAAGAATGCCTTTGTAGCTTCTAAGCAGGGTTCTGTCAGGCCAGACATAAACAATGGAGCCACGAGACCCTCCTCAGAGAGGTTGGGGAAGAAAGAAAGTCTGTATTTCAGGTGTGCTGGGGGCTTCAAAGGCACTTCCACCCTGGGAGAGTCGGGAAGTGGCTTCCTGACCCGGGACCCCAGGAGTGCCAAGACTACCTCCCTCACTCCCAGCTCACAGATGGCTTCAGCTCACGCCTCCCTCAGGGTTCTCACCCAGGATGGACCTTGGAGAAACAGTCAGGCCATTGATGGGTTCTAGCCCTGCCTAAGACAATCATTCCGATGTTTGTGACTGACTTACCATCCTTCAAATCCAGACAACCATGTTTTCACCAAGTCTCTCTAGCATCAACCAAACAGTGCTTTGTTTGAATGGCTTAGCCACTATAGAATCCACTGAAAATAGGCAAGACAGGGGCTGGTGATATGGCTCAGTTGGTAGAATGCTTGCTTAGAATACATAGAGCCCTGGGTTCAAACCCCAGTATAGCATAAATTAGGAATGGAGATACACTCCTATAATCCCAACACTTGGGAGGCGTGGAGGGGAGCTCAGAAGTTCTAGATCAATTTTCGCCACATAGCAAGTTTAAGACCAGCCTGGGCTATATGCAAGCCTGTCTCAAAATATACAACAGGGGGTTGGAGAGAGGGAAGGGGAGAGATTACGTAACTGTATTCTAATTATAATAAAAAATTATTAAGCAATAAATAAATAAGCAAGACACGGTCGATGCCTAAGACACTCTCAATGGCTAAGCCAAGTCACAGCCCAGTTACCACAGGCAGATCCAACTGCCCAATTCCTAGCAATTGTTCATGAACTTCAGACCCAGAGTAACCCTGAGGTCTCTAGGTGTTGTGCCTCTTGCAGGCTGGGGAAGGTGGAGCGAAAGGAGAAGGAACGTGGCTGGATGGCATGAGGCCAGTCGTAACCTCAGTGGCTACAAAGGTTTTGAGCACACTGCCCTAAGCAGCATGGACAACCCACCATGATTCCCTAACGGCAGGACTAGGACAGGCAGAGCCTCGCATACTTATCCCCACTCCACACAGATCCACGTCTGCTTGAAGCTCAGGCTCTGCTCCGAGAGCTGCCTCACCACCACCACGCAATGAAAGACAGTGATTTCTACTACGAAGGTCAGCCGCACTGGTGCTTAGGGGCCAGCTACAGACAAGGCCATGAGTGTCCACATACTGTTTTGTTTGTTTGGAAAGAAAACCCCCAAGTCGAGAAGGCTGGCATTCTGGGAAGGGCCAGAGAAGAGCAGGAAAATGAAGTGGCCGTGGGCACTGACCTGAATTTCCCGGTCCGCACCTGCAATGCTCTCATTCCACACTTCTGGGCACCGCCGACGTCGCCCACGATGTCATCACCGATCATGACGGCCTGTCAGTAGTGAAATAGTCTCAGAAGTTATGTCAGGAAAGTTTTATTCCTGGGCTCTTCATAGCTTTCTCTTTTTTTTCTTGACATAATAAACTGCTTGATTTGATGTTTAAAGCCACCATCATCCAAATTAAACAAGATAATATTGTCACCGTATTGATTTAAAGTCAACCCACCTTGAATATATCTCCCGCTGCTCCCCTGGGCCACGACCAGTTTATTTATCCAATGTGAAATCAATCAGCAACCGTCAAAGTGATTTGGCGCCTCGAGGGGCACCCGCCTCTGTGCAGACTGAGCAGACGGCATTTCCCCTGATGCTAAGTACTCGTCTGTGATCAGGTGACTGGGCTGGGAAAACTACATCCAAGTCTGGCAAGTCTTTATAGTCCCAGGTCAGAAGGTTTTACTTTCAAACGTCAAATGACGATGTGTAAAAATCAAAATCTAACACCTGCCCCCCCCACAAGAAATATTTGCCTACTGGGTAGGGTTTCAGAAGACTCTGTGGAGCTAAGTGCTACCACCTGAAACCACCCCCCAAACAGGCAGGCTCTCAGAACCAACAGTCCTCAAGGCACCGGACATCAAACAAGGAAGGGTGTGTCTTCTGAGGCCCAGCAAGTGCATGAGGTGGCTCAGCGACAAACCCAGCCTCATTGCCTTCAGTGTCGACACAGTACATGTGTGGGGAGGATATTATGGGCTGAGTTGTATCCTGCAAAGTCAGCATGGCCTGAGCCCCAGGGTGAGTGCTTAGAGATCACTTCAATGAAGGTAGTTTAGATTCCATGGGGTCAAGGGTGGAGCGGTTCTTGATTCTCGTTGGAGGAGGAAGAGACCCCACAGCTGCCTCCATATAAGCCCAGCAAAGGCCATGGGAGGACAGAGCAAAAAGGCAGCCACTGTGGTGTAGACATGGTTTGAGGTTGTCCCCCAAAGGCTTGGTCTCCGGCATGATGGTATCAATGGAGGCACCCGTAATAGATGCAACTTAGAAATCATTACAATAAGGAAGACAAGCCAGACTTAAAAAGGGCAAATATGGCGTGTTTCCTCTCATAAGCAGAATCTGAAGTTGAAATTATACATGTCGGGGGGCACACATTTATATACATGTGTGATTATAGGTCCTGACATGAGAAAGGCCACCACGTGAAGGAGGGGACTAGATCGCAGGGTGACGGGAGGAGGAACAGCAAAGGAATACATGGGAAAGAAGCAGAGCAGGACTGCAGAGCAAAGAGAGGAACCACTGCGAGGCACAGGGCGCCAGGGAGCAGTGCGCACTCGAAATCCCTCCCTGGACTTCTCTCATCTCTCTTCCGCCTCCTTCCTGTGTCTCACAGATAATGTTAAAAATACTGGTGACAACTGATCTCCATCAGTGTCCCCAATAATCACATGGTGCTTACTCTTAGGATATTACGGAAAGCCAAGACACGCTCGTCTTCCACTTATAAAGTTCCTCTTAAAACTCACTAAACTTTTAAAAAAGTCAGCTTAAAGAAATCCTAAGCATGTAATAGTGCCCAGCTACAGCAAAACACGGAACTGTTTTCTAGGAGACAGTGTCAGTGTTGGGGCAGGCCAGGGTGGGGGTGGGGTGAGAGCTCGAGTGGAGGTTTTTTGTTTTTAAATATTTATTTATTATGCATACAATATTCTGTCTGTGTGTATGCCTGCAGGCCAGAAGAGGGCACCAGACCTCATGGTTGTGAGCCACCATGTGGTTGCTGGGAATTGAACTCAGAACCTTTGGAAGAGCAGGCAATGCTCCTAACCGCTGAGCCATCTCTCCAGCCCCCAGAGTGGAGGTTTTTTGCTTTGTTTTCTACCAACTTTCATACAGCAGTGTAGAAACCATCCGGCCACCTGGGAAGACCCAGCCGTGGGTAGCATTCGCTGCAGTGGGACAGCATGGGGTACAGTGACGCAATGAACCGAGACTCCGAAGCATCAGGACTCTCCAACAACTTGTTCGGAGTGGCCTCGGGTACAGATGGACAGTCGTGGCTTGCTGACTCCCTCTAAAGGAGCCATTCCAAAACTGTTGATTCAGCCTTTGAAAACTCAAAGGTCCCAGCTCAGGTTCATCCGCTGCTGCCAAAGGCGCTGGGACCTTTGTGGGACTGGACTTCCTAGAAATGAAATGCACACCCTACCTACTGCATGCCATGCTTGGCACCTTCCGTGTGTACACGTGGGCTAGGGCCATAGCTCAGTCAGTAGAGTTCTTCATTAGTATACACAAGGCTGCGGGTTCGAGCTCCAGCACTGTATACACTAAGTGGGGTGGTGTGTGCCTGTAATCCCAGGATTTAGGAGGTAGAGGCAGAACGATCAGAAGTTCAAGGTCATCCTCAGCTACACAGTGAATTCAAGGCCAGCCTGGATACATGAAATACTGCCTCGAAACAAACTCTTACACGTGTGCATGCACACACACAACAGACAGAGGGAATCGCCTTCTCAGGGCCCTCTTGGGCTGCCATTTTTGATGTGGTCCATGAAGATGGTTTCAGGAAAAAAATTAATCCCTCGGAGGCAGTGTTATCACACATGGAAGAGCGTCTGTGGGATGGATGCTTGGGATGACGACATGATGCCAGCACAGGGCAGAACCCCAGGAAGTGGAGAGGTGGGTGGCAGGGAGTTGGGGCTAGACACAGGCAGCCAGTGGGATGTGCAGTGAGGCCTGTCTGGGCCAGCTTGTGGGCTCTGCATACCAAAACGCTCTCGGAACCCTGGGGAATTTCCAGATTTACCATCAGTGAAGGGCAATAATCACACCGAGAGGAGCAATTATTGCCAAATCATTTAGGATTTAAAAAATCATTGGCAAGAAGATGGAGGTCAAGAGGTGCACCGTCGGGGGAAATAAAATTCCACCTGTCAGGCCTGGCTTTTACTCCTTTCTGCCGGTGACGGTGATGTGCTACAGGGGAGACAGACATTCAAAACTGAATGACCGCATTCCAAGAGAGCCCAGGGATGCAGAGAGCTGCGGGCGCTGTCACCCTCTAAGGCAGTTCCGTCGTTTGGATTTGTACAGCAGGCTCTGGGGCTGGGCATGTGGGTCAGCCAGCAGAGCACTCGTCCAGTGCATATGGAAACCTGCACTCTGCTTCCCCAGCAGTACACCAAGCAGGGGTGGATCCTGGAATCTGGGAGACCGAGAAGGAGTATCAGAAGTTTAAGGTCATCATTGTCTATGCAGTGAGGTAGAAGCCAGTCTGGGCTCAAAAAGGAGATCCTCTGTTCCTTCAACACTGCCTGCCTGCAGGTCTCTCCTCCAACATCCTGGGTGCTCTGAAAAACAGAGCCTAACAGGCGACGTGCTTGGAGGACCGGCTTTCAGGGCCCAGGGGCTTCCCAGGAAAGTTTGTGTTTCGTGAGCTGTCAGCTCTCCCCGGGTTCTGCTGGGCAGACAATGCCCCCATCACAGGGAAGGACACAGTGAGGCAGGCAGGCACACACCCCGCATGAAGAGTCCTCAAGACATATTTACACCTTCAGCCTCCAGACACCTCAGAAACTCGGAGGTGACATCACTAAGCCATCTCCACCATGGCCTAGTATATTTACAAGGACAAACACGAACACAGCAAAAGCCATGGATCGCTGATTAGGGGCTGCCACCGCTGGAGCTCAGGCCCAAAGCACCTCTGCAGAGCCACTACCAAGAGAACGGCAGTGACGACTCTATTGATTAGGGCAGTTCAGGACAGTCAAGGCATACCACAGCCTGGCACCTGAGCAGCCTGCAGCCCTTCACAGGGCACTTTCGTTAAACACACACACACACAAATACAGAGTCAGGGATTTTAACTTGTGTGTGCATGTCGTTATGTAAAACTCTGTCTTATAATGTCTACATATCCCGAGATTTAAATAATCACAGCAAGCCTTTCAACAAAACGGCAGGCTGGAGCCAGGAGAGACTGACAGTTGGGAAAAGGCATGGGTACTGTGTTTAAACTCAGATTGCATTAGCCTGCCACACGCCAGGCACGAAGCGCACGTGTGCAGCACAGCACACATAGGGAGGTCAGCAGGCAGGTTCTGGGAGTCAGTTCTCTCGCACCCTGTGAGGCCTAGTCACCAGGTCTGGCTGTAGGTGACTTTACTCACTAAGCTATCACACCAGCCTGAGCTCTAGAACATTTCCATCACTCACTGGAGACCAGGGACTTACGAACTGACATTCCTGCTGTGCCCACCTTAACCTCTGGTACCACTAGTCCACTCTCTCTGCCTCTGTGGGCTTGCCTGCTCTAGCCCTCTCTAAGGATTCCAGGCATGCTTTTGCACCAGGCTTCCTGCCCTTGGCAGACCCTGTTCCTGGCTCATTCCTCCTCTTTATGACTTAACGTTTCACTGTACGAGTGGGGCACATGTTGCTGACCCATTCGCTGGGGGCTGGCAGACATGAGTTCTGTTCATCCTTTTAGTTCGTGTAAATGCAGCTTCCACAAACATCTGGAAATGGTTTTAGGGGACTGCTTGTTTCTGTGGTGCTGGGACTCAAAACCAGGGCTTTGCTCTTGCTAGGCAGGTGCTTGGCCGCTGAGCTACCCTCAGACCCTGCATGGTGGTGGTTGTTATCTGGATGCCCAGTTCCTTTCATCTGTGTCTACACCTCGGAGCGCCATCGCAGGTATAGACAGCAGACTCATTTAATCCTGAAGAAGCCACCGAAGTTTCCCTTCCAAACAGTGCTGTTCCTTCACAGTCCTGGGACACAGGGCTCCAGCTTTTCCATATCAACGCCTGCACTTTCCTGCTACTTCCACCCTTTAGCGGCCATAGTAGATGGCGGGGTTTGTAGTCCCAAGGGGCCAAGAAACTCGCCATCTTTCTGTGTGCTCCTGGGTCACCGCCTGGGGTTCTACTGTTAAAATGCCCCATTTTAAAAGGAATGTTTTTTTTTAACATGAAAGGATACAACAGACCTGAGATTTGCTTTAAAACATGAGAGTGAAAAATTAGTTCTGGGGCTGAGGAGATGGTTTAGTTGGAAAAGTGCTTGCTGTGCAGATATGAGGCCCTGAGTTCTGATCCCCAGCATCCATGTGCACCTGGGCACAGCAGCACACATCTGTAATCCCAGTGATCCTGTGCAGAGATGGGAGACAGAGACAGGAGAGTCCCTGGAAACTCACTGGCTAGCTAGCTCGGCATATGCAGTGGCAGGTAAGAGAGACCCTGTCTCAAACAGAGGACAAGATAAGGACTAACACCCGAGGTTGTCCTCTGCCTTCCACATGCACACTGTGGCACACGTGTACCTGCAACTTACATACATGTTCATGCATGCACATGTACACATACATATAACACAAGAAAGGAAAACATTTGTTTTTTTTTAAGGGGGGGTAAACATTACAAGAGGGGACCACGTGTGATCTAGTTGTTGGGACACATGGCAAGTAACTCTCTGATTCCTCAGTTAGAAGAGTTCTGGGACAGAAAGATGGCTCAGTGGGTAATGGCGCTTGCTGCTGAGCCTGACGATCTGAGTTCGAGTCCTACCACCCACTTGGTGGAGGGAGAGAATGAACTCACATGATCCCACACCCAAAAGAAATAAGTAAATGTCATTTAAAAAATTTAAAGAAAGGCAATTCTGCCACTCGTACCTGGTGAGCTTCCACCCCGATGGCTTGTAGGGCAGACTTGAAGAACTCAGGGGAAGGTTTCCCCACCACTTCAGCCTCGATACCACAGGCATACTGGCAAAGAAAAGGCATAGCATGGGTTTGAGATCAGGAACGGGAAGGTGACCAAGCATGGGAGAGACTGTCTCATGATGGCTAAGATCCTTCACAAAGCAGGATGCTATGGGCCTCAGAGACATCTCACGGACAAGACTGTCACAACTCCACAACAGGTGTCCTGCCTCCAGTTCCGCCACCCACTCCAAGGCTGCCCACGGCAAAGTGGCATACCATACCTGGCAAAGCCACAAGGCTCCCGAGGGGCAGGAGACCAGGGCCCTCGCCTGCCTGTTCAGCTAGAATTCCATTCTCTTGCCTCTCCCTGTTGCCCACCTCCAAGCAGATCATAGGCCCTCCTGAAGGGGACAGGATTCAATCCACCCACCTGGGCACAGGTGAGCAGGGGAGTGGTCGGTAGGAGTCTAGGCAGGGCTAACTGATTGGCCACAGTCAAAGTGAACTCCAGAGGTCTGGCCGCAGATGTTTCTGTAACCCAGAGGGTCAGCTCAGGAATGAGGCCAGAGGGGACACATGAGGCCTGAGGTATGACAGGGCCAGGAAGGAGGCATCCAGGAGTCAGAGAAGAGCATGCTGGGAGAGATGACCAGGAGGTTGGCCGGGGTTGGGATGAGAGAATGACACACATGTGACTGACTGTGTGGTGACCCAGGCAATGGGAGAGCCAGCTCCAGAGGGGAGGGAGTGTGCGGCTAGAAACCCTACACATGAAAGGCTTCTTGTATGTAAAGTGCTCCCTCTTCTCCAGAAAGCCTGAAGAGGGCATGGGACAGATCATGGCGGGTACCTCGAGTGCCTTCATGTAGCCTCCCACATCCAGCATGAGGCCAGAGGTCTCCTTGTAGTAACGTCTGCAAGAGAGCAGAAGGGGAGAGATAAGCAGAGAGCCACAGGTGCGGGTCAGTACTGACGCCATGCTCAGAGTGACTGATGGAGGCCACATGGGTCATTCAGCCAGTAGCCCCCTGCCGCTGGCCTTGTGGGGACCCTACCGCAATGATTAACCGGGGACCCAAGGGGGACAGATGGATCCAGTTACTAACACAGAGGAAGACAAGTGACCCGTGTTCCAGGAAGGGATGGCAGGCCCCCGGAGCATGTGCTGACTCCCTAATTGCTAATAATTAACCCTTAACTGCTGCCTGAGGAGAGAACTCCATTAGTTCCACAGCGGCCTGCCACATCCCCTGTGAGCTGGGGTCAGGCAAGGTGCCAGGATTCTTGGGGCACCAGCTGCTTCCACAAGACAAGAAGCATGTCTGCCCAACTGCAGAGACAACGCAGGCTCTCTGGGAGCCGTCCTCCTTAAGACGGTCACACTGCTCTTCCAGGTGCCCACGGCCCATCCCACATCAGACCAAGGCCTCGAGGTACAAGGAGTCCTGACTGCAAAGTCATCCACCCATACCTGGGGCTCTCCATGTGACCATAGGAAGCAAGAAGGTGGCTTACACATCATGTTCTAGGGATGAGGTTCGCTGACACCCAGGAATGGCACGGGGATCTGAGTTTAGAATTATTAGGTCTGACCATCCCTGTCAGTTTTTCCCTTCCCTCCTTTCTCTCCCTTCCAGCAGGGGACATTAACTAAGTATGTGTGCTGAGGACGAGAGGAGAGAGACGCAGGCTGGCTCCAACATTCAGACCCCTCTCAGCTTTCTAACAGGGACTTTGGGCTATGTAAGCCTTTAGACCTCAGCTTCCTCACCTCTAAAATGGTCAAAAGAAACGACCATCCATATCTAGGGCTGTTGTGAAGCTTGGACAATAACAATAAAAGTTCCTCATATATGCCCAGAACACAACCACCACTCAATGGCAGGCTGGAGAAGTCTCCTGTAAGCTGTTCACTGGAGCTGGAACACAGGCCCTGAGACAGGAGCTCAGTGGAAAAACGAATACAGGCCCCAGGCCTGCTGGTGCTAGTCCTGTAATCCAGTCTTCAGGAGGCTGAGGCAGGGGAAGAGTCAATTCTAGGCCAGTCTGGGATACACAGCAGATCCTACCTTAGTCTTTTTCTTTTCTTCCTGTGTATGTGTTGGAACATGGTCTGAGAATGGAGTTGCGTGAGGAGAATTCTGTGTGCTTGTGAGAAAATGCCAGGAGAACCTGGCACTGATGTGGGTTCTGAGGATTCCAACTCCAGCCCTCTTGCTTGCATGCCGACAGCTTTAACCATCTCCAAAGTTGGTGAGGTGGCTCAGTGAGCAGAACACTTGTGGTGCAAGCATGGGGACCTGCAGAGCCCCAGAAACCACAGAACCTAGGTGTGACACCGGGTGTCCGTGACCCCAGCACTCCTGGGTTAGATGAGAGGCAGAGACAGAGGAAGTCCCAGAAGCTAGCCAGGCAAACGACAAAGGGGACCCTGTATCAAACAAGGTGGAAGATGAAGAGCGACAGCTGAGGCTTTCCTGTGACCTCCACATGCACACCCTATCAGGAGCATGCCTACACTCACAGACAGACAGACAGACACCACATACACATCTGTGACCTCCACATGCACACCTGGCATGGGCATGCCTACACTCACAGACAGACAGACAGACAGACACATACACACCACATACACACCTGTGACCTCCTCATACACACCCTTCCATGAACATTCCTACACTCACAGATACACAGACATAGGCAAATAGGAAGACAGAGAGACACACATACACTTACTTAAAAGTGTTTCCTTCATTTTTTTTTCTATTTTTACAATAAATTATAATGACTATTTCCTTAGTCCAGAGTTTCAAAGAACTGGAGAATGATAAACAGAATTTGGCCAGCAGAGGGAGACACAGAGGTGCTGTGCTGTCTGAGTGACAGGTGGCTTACCCTACTCAGCCCAGGACTCTGCAGGACTCAGGGACACGATGAGACCTGGCAGGCACCCCTGGACTCCCAGTGTAGAGGAGGCATAAACAGACCCACAGGGAAACTATAAGCGCAAACATGGCGAGCTGCATGAATGGGGGACAGAGGCATCCCTCAGAATAGACGATTAAAGCTGTGTCCTGAGTGAGGGGAAGGAGTGTGGAGACCAGGGAGCATCTGGGATCACCAGAGCACCTGATGGGGTCCACAGTGGCCCACCTCCACACCCACAGTTAGGCCATCCTCCGCGGGCAGCCATCCTCCACGGGCAAGGGCTCTCAGAGGCTCCCAGAGACTCCCAGCCTTGTTCCAATGGGTAGCCAGAGAAAAACTCCAGGAGAGGATTATCAGGGTCCTTCCAAAGGAAAGGGTGAGTAGAAAGGGGTTGGGCAGAGGACAGAGCCGGGACAGACCTAACTCAGAACAGAAGACACTCAGCAAGAAGCAAACAGAAACTTCCAAAACAAAACTTTAACAGGGGCAGCTGTCTGCTGCGGAGGATTCTGGGGATTTCCAGGCTGCCCCGGGGCCAGCCGGAGGACACAGGAGACTGGATGGACAGGAACAAGCCCCTGTCATTTGGAAATCTCACCCCTGAGGAGTCCTTGGAACACAGCTCTGCTGGCCTCGGATCTACAGGTTTATTCTAAAGTAACTTCAGGGTGTTTCAAATCACATGACCTTCTGAGCCAGAGAAAAGGGATTTTCAGAAATCCCAAATAAAACCCTTTTTTTTAAAAAAAATTTTTTGAGACAGTATTTTTCTATGTAGCCCTGGCTATCCTGAAATTCGCACTGTAGACCAGGCTGGCCTCAGACTCAGAGATCTGCCTGCCTCTGCCTCCTCCAGATTGCTGATATTAAAGGTGTGTGCCACCACTGCCCAGCTAAAATAAGAACTTTTAATCCCACCCTCCTCCTTGCTTCTCAGCAGAGGCTTGCTTTTGAGACAGGGTCCCTCTACACACCCAGGCTGGCCTGGCACTCTTTGTAGACCAGGTTGGCCTCCAACTCACAGAGGTCCTTCTGCCTCCACCCCCCAAGTGCTGGGGTTACAGCTGTGCCCCACTACCTCATATATGGTGCTGGGGAACGGAACCCAGTGGTTCCCGCATGCTAGGAAAACACTCTACCAACTAAGCTACATCCCCACTCACCGCCTCCCAATTTTCTTTCTTACTTTTTGTTTTTGATTTTGGTTTTCAAGACAGGGTTTCTCTGTGTAACAGCTCTAGCTGTCCTGGAACTCACTCTGAAGCCCAGGTGAGCCTGGAAGGCACAGAGATCCACCTGCCTATGCCTCCCGAGTGCTAGGATTAAAGGCCTGGGCCACTACTGCTGCCTGGTTTACTTTCTTTTTTAAACTGAATCTGAGCTGATGTTTAGAGAGCCCACAATCTTTATTTCTTATTCATTCAGGAAAACAAAACTCCACTTGGCTGTAAACACCGTTCCCTTTAAGATGAGCAGCCAATCGGCATCGGATTTACACCCCTTCACTAGCGACCGGATATAGTTTTCCTTCCTTTATGGCACAGTGTGGCCTGCTGTGGGCCTGGGAGGGCCCTGGGACCTCCAGCCACTGAGGGCCACTGTAGCACTGGGAGATCGGGGCACGGGGAGCAGTCAGATCTGATTTTATGCTTCGTTCTCCTGCCGTTTCCCATTCCTCGGTGCGGCCTCCCTGCAAAATGACCACTTGACCTCTCCCAGAAGAGCCATTAACCTCCATAGTCTGTAGAGTAAACAGCTTAATTTTCTGATGGCGGCATGACAGGAGAAATTACAAAGGCAATTCCCTCTCTCAGTCCACACAGATGCCAAATGTAAATCACTCCATTCCAAGAAGGGGGACATCCTGCCTCCCTGTACCCTCAGGGAGGCCACCCCAGCCTTCACTGTCATGACAGGAGCTCTTCCTGGACCCCGGGGCTGCCTAGAGAAGCCACCACCCTCTGGAACCTTTCTCCGGGTTTGAAACATGCCACCCTTCACCCAAGTCAAAATCTAGGGAGCTGGAGGCCCCGCTCGTATCAAATCAACCCTCCCCGACTGCTGTGTCTGCTGAAGTTATCACCCAGCCAAGAGCAAGCAATTCCTGTTTCCATCTTTTTCACTAGTGTACTTATTTAAGCCATTACTCAATCTGGAATAACCTTTAGCAATGATAAAAATCCATCAAAAATATATAGACATAAATGACCCAGAATACTGCTTTTTCATTATGTGCATTTTCCAGTGCAGGTTTGCCCACTAAAACATCCAAGGGCAGGGCCCATGTCAGTGAGCTAAGCAGGTCAAGTGTGCCTAGAGCAACGGGCATGAGGGCCCAGCAGGAAGCCCTGTTGCCTACCAGGCTAAAGCAGGAACCCCAAAGCATCATGCAACCTCAAGAGTGTGAGACTCCGAACTTTTAGTGCTGTTTCTGTTGACCAGGCTACACATGTCCAGCCTTCTGGAAGTGAGCTGGGCAGCATGTATCATGAAGCTCAAACTGCAGCCACAACTGGTAGCTCAGACATGTAATCACAGCACTTGAGAGGCTAAGGCAGGAGGATTGCTGAGAGTATAGGTCATCCTGGGTAGAGTGAGACCCCTCCCCCCCGTATCAAAATAAATAAATAAAAGGAAAGAAAAAAAAACTTAAAAATCTTCCTTTAGTGGTCTCTGAGTTCATCTGATATGACAAAGACACTCGATCATAGCTTACTGTCCCAGACAATAAGAAACAACCTCACTGTCCAACAGTAGGGAGCATTGAACATAACCCCAGGACAGTCACAAGGCGGATTAACTGTGTCACAGAGATAATCTGGTCACTGTGGTACTTGTCATTCACAAGGTGTTGTTTGGTGAGTGTAGGAAACAGGCACCAGGGGCCTGAGGAGAAGGCTCTGTGTTTGAACCCTTTGCTGTACAAGCGTGAGGAGCGGAGTCAGATCCCCAGCTCACATAAACGTCTGGTGGACATGGTGGCCCGCCTCTAATTCCAGCCTAGGAAGGGAGAGACACCCACAAATTGGACCATTGTTGTGATCTATGTTTGACTGAGAGATGCTACCTCACTGAATAAGGTAGAAGAAGATGGAGGATGCTATTCCTGACAATAACCTTGGGCCTCCACATGCATACACATACACATGTGTACCCATACACATGCAAAAGCATACACACACATACACACAAAAAATAGATTAAAAAAAAGAACCCCACAAGTGTTAAAACAAGGCCAAGCCTACACTGGTTCCGTTTCTTGTTGCTGTGACCAACTATATAACAAGGAAGGAAGGAAATGGGGTTCACAGTCTGAGGGGTACAGAACACCACAGTGGAGAAGGCATGGGGGCAAAAGCGTGAAGCAGCTGGGTCACGCTGCATCCACGGTTAGGAAGCAGAGAGGGGCAAACGCTGGGCAAATTCAGCATTCTCCTTTCTCCTTCTTCACTCCAGGACTCCAAGACATGGGACGCTACCCACACTTACGGGTGAGTCTACTTTTTTATGCATAATTTATTTTTATTTTACGTTCATTTGTGTTTTTCCTGTGTGAGGCTGTCAGATCCCCTGGAACTGGAGTTACAGACAAGTGCGAGCTGCCATGTAGGTGCTGGGATTTGAACCTGAGTCCTCTGGAAGAGCAGCCAGTGCCCAGGTCTCTTAACCACTGGCCCATCTCTCCAGCCCTAAGGGCGAGTCTTCACTCTTCAGTTAAACCTCTCTACAAACACCCTCACAGATACTTCCAGAAGTGTGTGTGTCTTAGGTAACTCTCGATCCAGTCATGTTTGCAGCGTCGGATGAATGCATGCATCTGCAAGTACTCATCCGAGGACACACACCCACATGGTGATGTTTGTGCTGTACAGTCTACTGCAAATACCTTTTATCTTCTTCTTGGGCTTGTGACTTCTAGGTTTTCTTCAATGAGCATATGCTATCTTGGCGGTAAGGAAAGATGCCAGCAGGGCTAGGGATATAGCTCAGTGGTCCAGCCTTGCCTGGCAATGTACAAGGCCTTGAGTTCAATACCCAGTACCTAATGTGAGGGGAAAAGTGCTTTGTTGGTCGTCATGGCAATGCCTGTAATTCCAGAGATCGAGAGGTAGAGGCAAGGGAATCAGAAGCTGAAGATCAATTTCAACTATATAGAATATAAGCAGCTTCAGGCCAACCTGGGAATATAAAAAAACCAAAACCAAAACAAAACAGGGCTGGAAAGATGGCTCAGCAGTTCAGGGCATTTGTTCTCACAGAGGACTTGGGTTTGGTTTCTAGCACCCACATGGCAGCTCATAACTAGCAATGACTCCACTTCCAAGGAACACAGCACCCTTTTCTGACCTCCAGGGGTAGTAGGTATGCACGTGGCAGATATACACACATGTAGGCAAAACACACACACACACACACACACACACAAAATTAAAACAAAGTAAATAGGGGAGAAAGGAAAGCGGGAGAGAGGAAGACGTTAAGTAAACACCCCCCCTTCTTTTTAAAGAAAAAGTAGGTGCTAGGGTTTGCATCCTGACTGTCCTCCAGAGACCCATGAGTTGAACGTAAGAAGGTGGGTACTAGGGCTGAAGAGATGGTTCAGCAGTTAGGAGCACTGGCTGTTCTTCCACAGGACCTGGGTTCAATCCCCAGCACCCACATGGTTGCTAACAGCAGTCTGTAAATCCAGTTTTCTGATTTTCTCTTCTGGCCCCCACGGGCACCACACACATATGGGTATAGACATGCATGTAGGCAAAACAACTATACACATAAAATAGCAATAATAATTATTCTTTTTAAAAAAAGGGGGTGGGGTCTAGTAAAAGGAAGTTAGACCTTTAAGGGGGAAGCTTGGAGGGGACACTGCGAGTCTTGATCTTTCTTTCTTTGCTTCCCAGTTTCTAGGGAGATAAACTGGACACTTTTCCCATGATGTCCGCCCTTACCATAGGCCCAAAGCAAACCTCTGAAACGATGAGCCTGACACCCAGCCTTCCTTGAACCTGTTTATCTCCGGCATCTGTTGGAGCAGTGGAAACCAACTAGTCTGGTGTTGAGGTGTGATAAAAGCCCAGCCAAAAACCGGGTGGTGGTGGCGCATGCCTTTAATCCCAGCACTCGGGAGGCAGAGGCAGGCGGGTCTCTGTGAGTTCGAGACCAGCGTGGTCTACAAGAGCTAGTTCCAGGACAGGCTCCAAAGCCACAGAGAAACCCTGTCTCGAAAAACAAAAACAAAACAAAACAAAGCCCAGCCGAAGCATGGGGACCAAATCCTAACTCTAGAGACTGCACCCAGCACCCGGGACCCAGACTAAAGCATCCTTCCCAGACCCCAAGTCTATCTATTAATACACAAAGCATCCCTAGGGACCATTCCTAAACATCTTGTGCTACGTGCTATGCTAAGCAACCTCTTCCTCCCTTACTGTAAACTTAGGACAGACAACACCTGGCTTTTGAGATCTCCTCAGGGTCTCCACCTGCACTAATGGCCCCACCCCTCTCCTGGCCCAAGATTCACACAGAAACTTGGCCAAGCATCTCTGGAAAGATTATTAAAAAGGAAGAAAGGAGAGAATGAAGAGAAAAGGCAAGGGAGGGAGAGAAGGCGCCTTGTGCTCATTCCCTCCCCCACCCCAGCCCCGTCTGCATCTGTCTCTACTTGATCCCACAGCAGAGAACCACAAGGCATGGGGCAGAGCTGCCCAGCACCAGCCCCCTGCCACCGACTCACCCCTTTCCCAGTGATATGAGCACAGGGTTTTCCAGCTCCATTAGCACTTGGAAGGCTCTGTTCATGTTTTTATAGGAAAAGCTTTCACCGGCATCCGCAATCACGACACAATTTGGGTTGGACATGTCAATGTCATCAAATTCTGAGCGGACCCCTGGAATGACAAGAGAGACAGACGGCCCTAAAGCCCAGAATGTGGCCTGCTCCCGGCAGGGACACTTTCTCTCTGCCGGGTCTGCCTGTCGGAATATGTATTTCAGAACAGCCTGAAGCTGGGAAACAGCTAGACATAACTATACTGTGGTATGCTCCTTACATGGCAAGAGCAAGAACACAGTGGTACATGTGATGAGCCTCTAGGCTGGTGAGAGTCTACTTTCTGTGAAAGCGAGGGCCGTCTCAGCAGGCCTGGCTTGCTCGAATTCTGCGCGCTCCAGAGAAAGGCTGGTCGTTTAGACTGGCCCCTCTAACAATGCTAGGGAGAAGCCCTGGCCCTGACAAAATCCTGTCTGATGGGGGTTCCACACCCAAGGATTTGGGTTGCACTGGGTCGGTTTGATCTTGAGAGAAGTATGTGGGTGGAGGCGGAGCCCCTAAGGTTAGTCGCATGGGGACTGTGTGCTTAGAAGACCAGCCCTTCTCAGACAAGTGTAGGCAACAAAGCTCCAGCGCCTCTCTGTTGCCAAGCTGCAGTGTCAGACATCACTGCGGAGACAACCAAGCACATCCAATGCAGGGGCAACTGGGATTTGATGATTGGTCTCTTCTGCCCTTCACCCCAAGCAGCTCCTCCCTTGTTAAGCGGAGCTGTGATCTTCCACTGTGCCTAGCTTTAATGGTGAATGCAATGTCTTTCTGAGTCTGTCCAAGGAATAACTGCGGCCTAGGGTGGCCTTTGGGGTCCCTGGGTTAATATATATTGTACAATTCTATTGATAATCCTAAACAGGTATATTTATCTATGATAGAAAATAAAAAAACAATGACTGTCACCCGGGTGGTGGTGGCGCACGCCTTTAATCCCAGCACGTGGGAGGCAGAGGCAGACGGATCTCTGTGAACTAGAGGCCAACCTGTTCTATGGAGTGAGTTCCAGGACAGCCAAGGCTACACAGAGAAACCCTGTTTCAAAACACCAGTAATAATAATAATGATAACTGTCACTAAGGGGTAGGGCCAGGGACCAACTGGAAGGATCTGCAGGAAGCTTCAGGGTTACAATAATGGAGGTCTCTAGAGGTGTGAGATTCTGGGGTGCAAAATTTAAGTTCAGTCAAAGCGTAATAGAGGTTTGGTTTTTTTCAGCACATGTAAAACTTACATCAACAGAAAATACCTGACCAGGTACTGAGCCCTAGTCAATCACAGGCTGGAACGCAATAGGGAACTGCACCAACATCCACTGTGGAATGATTTAAAACTATCAGCTAGATAGATGGAAGCATGGATGGACAAATAACCAAGAAAACATTATAGAGTATCATTCTCAACATCCATGGCCTGTAAAACTATTCTAAGTAAAAACTGTGTGTGTGCATGTAAGTGCGAACATGTGTGTGTGTGTGTGTGTGAGCGTGTGTGCGTTTGCGGAGGTTAGGATAAAATTGTGCCTCCTCAATGACTCTCCACATTGTTGTCGAGACCCTGAAGCTTGCTAATTGCTAGACTGGATGGCTGGCGAGCCTCAGGGATCCTCATATCCTCCGTGCTTGGATTATAGGGGTACACTGCTCTGCTTTTCATAGGGCTGTCGGGGATCAAACTCAAGTCCAAGTGCTTGGGCAGCAGGTACTTATGACGGGGTCATCATCAGAACCCCACCATGAGAATTTTGGAGGTCTGCTGTATGTCTGAAGATTTTCATAATACAGTATTGGGTGGAAAACATCAATAATAAAACCTAGAAAAGGCCAAAGTCTGAGGATCAGGTACACAGTTGGAAAGAAGACACAGCAGCAGAGGAAGGACAGCTGGATTCCTTGGTTAGCACCACATCTGAGCCAATGCTTTATTCAGCCCCAGCCCAGCTTCTTCATTGTCTCTTCCATGCCTAGCAACCCTTCCGACGGGGAACAGGAGACGGGGTCTCTAAAGACACTGGCAGGGCTCCTAACTACAGGGAAAGGAGGGTAGAAAGAGGGTTTTTAAAGGCTGGGCATGATTCCCTTCATTGGTGCCAGGGCAATGGACTCCATCTTCCTGCTTTCCAAGGAGAGTACTCTCCACCTCACGGGAGCGTCCCGCCTCTGCCCAGAGGTTTGTCCAGATGAAAACACTGTGGGGGCGGGGAAGAAGGAAGAAGGAAGGAGGGAAGGAACGACAAAAGAGCATTTCGAAGTACTTGAACCCTGTTTTTAAATGTCGCCAGAGAATACTGTTCCTTCTGCTTGTTCCCCAAAAGCTCCCCACTGAGGGCTCAAGGTTCTCTGGTCTTGAGGACCAGAACCATCCAGATTCAACCCTTGCTCTGACAGCCATTTGTAGACTGCACCGAAGAGCAGTCTGGCTGCCATTAAGGCAGACAGGCTACGGGTGGCAGATATTCCAAAGCTAGGGGCTGCAATCTTGATTTTCACATCCCCATATTCATCTTCTCTACTTCCTTCCCTCCCTCCTTTCTTCTCTCTCAATAATCTTACCTCTTGGGTTAAATCCCTGACCTTGCCTAGATCAAGGAACACGACCTCAGGTTTTACTCTCAGGATCATGCAAGCTGGCCTTGAGGCTGGGGGTTGGTTGGGGACAGCTGGGGCCTGGTCTTACCTCTCCCCTGTCCCCCAGCAGGAAGCCTCATGAGTTCTGTCCCCGTGAAGACTCATAAGGGTCATGGAAGAAGTCAGCCTTGACCTGCATGTGTGGTTTGGCCCAAATGGGAGTAGAAGCCCTCTCCCCAGCCTCCATCACAAAAGTTAAGTCCTAGGTAGGCCTACCGTCATGGACGAGCAGGTGTGGCCGCAGGCCTCGCTCCTTCAGGATCTGGCAGGTGGCCGGGGCAGGGGCGGTCACCTCTCCTTCTGAGATGTCGAACCCCAGTCGCTGAAGCAGCCCCACCAGCTCTCTCCGGGACTTCTGGGACTCATTGGTACAGAATCTCACCTTCAACGGGGACCGCTTCAGTCTGGGGCACAAAAACACAAATGAGAGTGTGCTCGGCACAGAGGGGTGTGGCCTCCCAAGAAGAGGCCCAGAGAGGGACTTCTGCAAGAGCAACTGGTGTTCAGGATAGGATGTCACAGCTGGAAGAGACCGCTTCTTGGAAAAGAGAATGCTGGCAGACCCCACCCCCAAACTCCTATGTAACCTCACATGATCTGAGCCAGCTGAGCTTCCCACCCAGCCTCTGCTAGGGACACTTCACCCCACCCCCACCTGGGACATGTCACCTACCCCAGACCCACTCATCAATGCTCCATTGCCATCTTCCGGGCCCAGCTGCAAAGCCGTCTCCAAATGCCCACAGGTGTTTCTCCACCTCATTCCGCAGCACCTGCATCTCCCCTTGGGACCTGTGCTCCCCATGTCTGTGAGTTACTAACTCAGGATCCACACTTCTCCAACAGCGTAAGACAGAGGTACCAAGCTGAAGCTTGTCTTCTCATTAAAGTCAATAAATAGGGCCTGTCAGAAACAGGCATCAGGAATATGACAGTTCTGGGATGTAGAAATGGGAACCCCACCTTGCATAAACCCAGAATTGAGGTTCCGTACAACTGAGATGCACTGAAAGCCAAGAGCACTATGACCCCTCCTTCAGAGCATCCTGGTGACATGTGGGTGAGTTCTTTGGATACAAAGCCACAAAGAAGATGCCCCAAGGGGCCCCCAATGAGATAACACTCAACCCATCTATAAATAGTCAGTGTGCACTTGGTACTGGGCTCGGACCTGTAGGTGAGTGCAGGAAGGGCCTTGCTGGCCACAGATCTGGGGCAGCATGGAGGCTGGCTGGCAGTGAGCACGAAGGATCGCAGGCAAGGCAATCTGTGCCTGGCAGGAGAGGGACCATGAAGGGCACAAATGGGGTAAAGGGACAATGGCTGTCTGCACAGGCAGGTGGGAGAGGCCTCACGGAGAGGCAACCCAGAGCTGAGACCTTGAGGAGAAAACACTAAGCTAAAACACATTTACTAGGACTTCCCTTAGGCTGTCTGAGCCTGTGGCCCCTTGGCACCCATAGAAGCAGGTGGGTTTCAGGGACCGGTCAGCTCTGGGACTATGGAGGGCCACTTAGGAAGAAATCTGTAGATCTACAGCCATCGGCGCACAGACCGCATCTTCCACAGCCTAGGTGGTTCACCCCCTTTCTTCTTATTTGTCTTCCCTAATCAGAGGTTTATGAATGACCAATTGCACCCAGTGGTTAATTGCCCTTCATAAAGATGGCGTTTTTATTTTTAAATTAGGCAGTTAATATATTGTAACTAATAGCATCACCTTGTATGTTATGGATGCGTCTTCACTGATTGGTGCCCAGAATGTGTGATTCACACCCAAGTTAATGGAGCAGTTGAGTGAAGAAGTGCAGGGGTCTCAAGGGACTAATTACTGCTAATGAATGATGATGTGACCTTCTCAGAACAGTGAGCAATCGGTGTGACAGCGAGATGGCAGGAGCCTCACAGCTGTCACTCCAAACACAACTTCTGATGAGGGTGGGAGGGCGTAGCTCATTGTCTTCTCTGAGATACCAACAGGAGTTCGTTGGAAAATCAGGGCTTTCAATTTGGGACTTTATCTGTGCAGGGACAATGTGACTGGAACTGTGTATGCAGAGCCCCCCCCCCCCGTCCTGTCCCTTTGTGACACTGACCGTGCCCCCTTCCAATGCGTTACCACAGGCCCTTTGACCACCAGAGGCCAGCCCCAGGAAGTCTCTTTCTTTAAAATCATTGGAAATAATTATAGTAGTCACTATTATTATTAAAATAGTTAAGTACGGGCTGGAGAGATGGCTCAGTGGCTAAGAACACTTTCTGCTATTGCAGAGAACCCAAGTTTGGTTCTCAGCACCCATGTGGCAGCTCATAACCGTATGTAACTTCAGTTCCAGGGGATCAGACGGCCTCTTCTGGCTTCTGTGGGCACATGCACACACACGGTGCACAGACACCCACACACATAAAATTAAGAATTCACTAAAAAAGTTTAACGCTGATAAAGTACCAATACAGCTTTCATGGAGTCTTGGCCCTGGAGAAGCACTGTCTTTGTGCTAAATGTCCATGGCCTGAAGTTATCCTCACACCCCCAGGGCAGGTCCTCCTCACAAGCGCCCTGCTTAAGTACCAGCTAACTGAGTAAACTTACCCCCCACCCAGGAGACAAGAAGGGAAACCCAGAAGAGGCCTGAGCCAGGTCATCTGGTTTGCAAGCACAAAGCCTATGGGGCCCTCAGTTATCTACTGAAGGTGTGCACAGGCTCTTGCACAGAGGGAAAAAATTCCCCAGGACATTCAAAGGTAACACTATGCCCCAGGCAGAGCCCAGCGGTCCCAGATCCGCTCTGAGGCATCTTACTCTAGGGAGGGGTGAGACATGTGTGGGCCTGACCTGTGTGTGTACCTGGGATAAAATTGGGATGGGCAAGAAGCCACATACCAACGTGAAGGCCTGGATGGAAGACTGAACTGTGCCTCACCCAGTTCCTACACTGAAGCCTTAATCCCCAGGGTGTCTGTACTCAGAGACAAGGCCTATGAGCAGCAAATTATGATTAAGTGGAATCGTAAGACGGGGGTCCTCAGAGAACCTCACAGGCTGGGTATGGTGACACAGGCTTGTAACTCCAGCACTGAAGGCAAAAGCAGGAGGATTGCTGCAAGTTTGAGACCATGGTCCACAGGGCAAATTTTAGGCTTGCCTGAGATACCAAAGAAGACCCTATTCCCAAAATAAACAAAAAGAACCCCACGGGGCTTAGTGCATGCCGTCTCCCTTCTCTTCCTCGCTCTCGAATCTCCCTCAGTGCATACACAGCAAAGAGATCACATGAACACACAGCAAAATTGCTGCCACCAGAACCCAACCATCCTGGCCCCTTGATCACAGACATCCAGGGCTTCGGGCACTGGGAGTAGGAAATTCACGCAGTAGAAACTGTAGCTTGGTGGTGTTTGTTATGACGACCCAGGCAGAGGGAGCTGAGGGGTCCCACTGACAGCTCTCTGTGAGTGCTGGTGCCATGTGCTATACACAGATCTGGCCTTGGGAGGCCTAGAACACAGATTCCAGACCAGAGGAAAGTCCAAGAAGGCACAGCTTCCAGAGTGCTGCAGAAGGAGCCTGATGAAGGGCAGTGGCTGCAGGTCCACCCCAACACCCAGAAGCCTTGGAGGGGAATGCCCTTGGCTGGCCTGAACACCCCACTGAAATTGTGGCCAGGGTCTTAGCCACTCCTCCCCCCTCCCCCACAAGAAGCCCTACTTCCTGTGACCCAGCTGCATCTCTGAACTGACCTTAACCTCATCCCAGCCGGCCAGGAGGCTCCTCTGAGTGACAACATCGCCCTGTGCAATTACCGTGCATCAGATGAGCCGGTCCCTTACAAATCACCTCGGACTTTACACATCTGCTGGCTGTCGGGCATCTGCCAGGAGCGCTCACCCGCAAATAATGAAAGCCCTCTCATTACCGCTCCGCGGCAGGTAAAGTGTTAGGACAATTATTGGACATCCTGAGTGACCTTGGGATAGCGCCGAGCCTGCCCTCTCCAGCTTGCCAAGGGTCGAGAGGCTGGAGAGTCATGAGTGCCCCTTAGAGGGACCGGAAAGGGAATCTGGGCAGGGGTAGGAGCTTGCCAAGGAAAGAACAGCCTGGGTCACTCCCAATGGGTCCCCTCTTTCCCTCAAGCCCTTGTTGCCTTTATCTGCCCGGAGGTCCTCTCACTGTCTATGTCTTTGCCTTCATCATCTCTTGGAGCTGAATCCTACCCTCCCTCAAGGCCAGGTCCACATGGTCCTCCCTCCAAAAGCTTGATCTTCTCCTGTTCATACAGAGGCCAGCCTCCTCTAGCTGTGCTTTGTGCGCTACCAAGGCCTCTTCCTGCCGCTCTGCCAACTCTGGGCTCCTGGAGAGCAGATGTGTGATTTCAGGCCATCGCATCCTGTGCTTCAACAGGTGTCACAGCAACAGACAGGGCAGAGGAGCCCTGAGGACAGACAAGTCCAGTGTCTAGAGCCTTGGGCAACTGGGAGGAAATAAGGGATTGTGGGAGAAGTCAGGGTCCCCAAAACCAAAAGATGTCATGGAGACGACAAGAAACTCCTGAACAGGGTCATGGAGACCCTGAGGACAGGGCCATCAGGGATTAAAGTATATGTTTACAGGTGAAATGTCCATGAAGTAACCTCAAACTTGGGAAATGGCAGCTCAAAGGCTCACTGGAGTCCAAGATGGACAGGAAGTGACCAGCACAGTCCTGCAGAGCGGTGTTTTGGAAGCCTGCTAGTTTCCTGCCCAAAACGAATGTGAGACTGTCTCCAAATCAGGCACTGCTGATGCTTTCCTGGGAGTGACCTAAGTGACCCAACTTCCAAACTGAATCCAAGGCCCACCTGGTACCAGAGAAGCTCACATGGCAAAGATTGGGAAGACCTTCCCCTTGTCTGTCTTCCACCGCTATAACCAGCAGTCCTACAGGGACCTTGCCTAGGGTGGGGAGGTGGGACCAACATACTGTTGAAGAGGGAGGCAGGCCAGCGAGTACAAGGGTTGGTTTCCTAGAGGGATGGATGAGCCAATCACTTTTGTGTTGGTGTGACAAAAGTCCTGGGTAAAGCAACTTGAGAGAGGAAGGGTTTACTCTGGCTCACAACTCAAGGGTACAGTCCATCACGGTGGGGAAGGCGTGGCAGGGTACAGTCCACCACGGTGGGAAAGACATTGCAGGGTACAGTCCATCCCGGTGGGGAAGGCATTGCAGGGTACAGTCCATCCCGGTGGGGAAGGCATTGCGGGGTACAGTTTGTCACGGTGGGGAAGGCATGGTGGGGTACAGTCCACTACAGTGGGGAAGGTGTGGTGGGGTAGCGCCCATCATGGTGGGGAAGGCGTAGCAGGGTACAGTCCACCGGTGGAGAAGGCATGGCGGGGTGCAGTCAGTCATGGTGGGGAAGGCAT